TGTCAATTTAACTGTTAAAGAGGTAGGAAAAAACACACTGTTTTATTTCTCAAACATGCGAAGGATGTGATCATTGAGTTCTGTCTTAAAAACTGGTGCAAGTATAGGTACACAGAGCATTCAAACTTAAAAATGTACAGTACAAATCTCCATGTACTTTGACAGGAGTTTGTGTCTGAGACGCATGCAGTAGAAACCTGATCATATTGATCTGTTAATTTGGAATGTCAGACCATGCCAGTGTATTGCTTTTCTTTTTCCATGTTCTGCATTCAGGAATACTGAATACATTTCCTATTCTAAAGATATTTAGATTTGAGTGTTTAAACTTGGTTGTTTGTCAGAAATTTCAACAGGAAAACCTACCATTTTTTTTTGCAACTGTTGTAGGTGTAAGGACTGTTGTACTTGTTTTACAAGCTTAGTATAACTTCACTCAAATCAGCTTGATTTGGCCATAATGTATTTGGTGGTTTGTGTTATAGGAAGGGGTATTGCCTTTGAAACCTGAACCCCTGTATGCTATTGATGGAGACAAGGGAATTAATGAACCGATAGAGTATTACATTTTGAGTGGTAAGTAGGGAAACACTGTTCAAAGTTTTGATTTTTAGAAAAGTAATTCCTTTATTTTTTTTGGGGAAGCTAGTTATGTTTATATTACAGTGCACTTTTAAACTTTTACACCTTTAAATGAAGACTTTATCTGAGACTTTATCTGTCAATAGATTTATATGCTTTTTGTGCTGTTTTACATCTAACAGGGAATGAAGCAGGTCTGTTTGACATGAATAGTAATACTGGAAATATCACAATGTTAAAAGCTGTGGATATAGCAGGGCCAATACTCTTGACAGTTATGGTAAGTGCATTTATCCAGTGAAGGAAATCATTGTGTTTATGAGCAGTTTTTAAGAAACTTTAAAGCACTAAAATATACTTGGAAAACTCTGGGCTGCCATCGGAAATACCTTTCATATATTGTATAGAATCTGTATATGCTTCTCCACGCTTTTGCTAATTTTTAGATTTCTAATGGTGAATCTTTGAAGAAACAGATTCATTGATTATTCTTCCATCTTTCAGGCTTTCCAGACTAAGAACCCCAACCAGTTTTCTACGACGTCTGTTGTTATAGATGTTGTGATGAAGACCCTCAACCCTCCTGAGTTTGAAAAGCCCAGATATAACGGGTTTGTATCCAGTGACTCAGATGTGGGGAGTATGGTCCTGGAAGAGGGGTTTTCTGCTAGGCCCTTGAAGGTCCTTGCTACGGACGCCGATTTCGCAGATGTGAGTAAAGCATCTTCTTCATTGTGATCTTTTTTTAGCCCATTCCGTTGCTCATTGTCCTCTGCAACCCCTTTAATTGCTGTTGCAATTATTTAATTGGCTTAAAGTCATGTGGCCTAGATGGACGGTGTACACAGAACAGGCACACAAAATAAGGAGGATAACGGTGTGTAAGCAAAACACTTCAGCAGGCACTGAAATGTTCCAGTACTGCTTAATGCTTTTAAGAAGATTTTTTCTGAAATTAGGCTTTCAGTGCAGGAAAAATTAATAGCTCTTTCCTGTTTCTTAATATTTACTGTTACAGTCTCATTGCAACACCATCTCCTTTGTTCTTATTTTACCATGAAGTATGTTAAGATTGTTTGACAATCCAAATTATTTACTGCTATTAGTAACTATTTATTACAATCAAAATAAAAAAGAACTGGTATGAAAATATACACATTATAAAAAGTATATAAACAGTATATATTATAAACCATATAAACATATAAAAACAATAGTAAGACAATACCTCTACCCCACAGCAATAACCACAACACAAAATAAATGAAAAAACTAAAATAAAGCACTCAATAAAGAACAGGCTAAGGAATGTGTTTTTAATCGAGATGCAATTTCTTGTTTTGATAACTATTCACTGTCTTTTCTATGACATTCCAAATTGAGCTCGGGTACATCTAATTTCCTTGTGAGATCACTCTAAAACTTGAATGAAATACACTTGAGGTCAATTTAATTGCTTAACTTGATTTCAGAAGTAACACACCTGTCTATAAAAACCAAATACAAGCAAATCCTTTGGAAAAATATGTTTAGCAATAAAAAACATGTTGCACTGCATTCAATGACTTGGCATATTAAATAATTACAAGAGACTGTTCTAAAGTGGACACGAAAACAATGCATGGACATCAGCATAGGGGTGCTATAATTGAATCTGTTCAACCAGTTCAGAATTCAGTACCAACCACAGAACATAAAAAAAACAAACGCTAGGAGGTAAAAACAGACCTATAAAAATGGCAGAAGATGCTTCTTATAGCATGTGCTTAAGTTTTCCTGAAACAATTCCTGTTCTTATTTTAGGGTGTAAACCCTAATGTTGAATATAAAGTCCAAGACAACAATGACCTTACAGTGACTAAAGAAGGTTTTATTCTTACGAAGAAGATCTTACAACCTAACACAATTATTGCACAAGTAAGTAATCAGTATATTTTTATTTTGTTCTCTCTGGGAAAACTAAAGTGAGGGCATGTGTTAGTTTTAAGGAAGCATGTAAATATGTATCGTGTATAATGTAAGACAATGAAAGTACTCAGATTACAGTATATACCACTTTTGGGTAACAAGACATTTAGGATTTTCAAGTCAATGTATTACTCAACGGGGTTTAATACAACACAACATATTCAGTATTAAATTTCAGCTTATTTATGTGTCATGACACAGTTTACTTGACATGTTTGATATATCGGCTTATTTTGTCTGTGGTTCAAAAGTAAAAACAAAGAAAAAAAGGTCTCTTCGCTTGCAGATGTCAACAAGATTTTTGGTCTTTTGTCTCAATTGTATTTCCTCCAGATAATTGCTGAGGATATGTCAAATGGAGAATCTGCCTCAACTATAGTCACAGTTGAGGTGCTAATGGGTGAGCAGAATTTTAGTGAAATTGTGATGTAAAAATATGTTAGTGTATTTGCTAAACAAAACTTTGAGAAAAGGTTAAAAATATATCTGTATTCTAGCGTGTATTATTGTAGTATATTAAGTATAAAAATATGCCTAGATTATGTATGTTTATTATAGAGGTGAATTGTATCTATATTTTGTATTGTATCTCCATTTTTGTCAAGCTGCAGGATATCACAAGTATGATATTAAAGAACAGTAACTGGAAATTAAGATTTTGAAAACTGCTAACATTGGTACAGTACATCATTTTGAGCACATTATTTGCTAATCCTTTGATAATTGTTTTTCTTAAAATATAAAAAGTAGGGGTCAAAATGTTATAAAGATCATGGTGCTTTTTCATTAATTTTCTCCTCATTATGGGTTTCCATGAATATTTGTGTGTATCAAATTATTTTCCGCATTTAAAAATCTGCTTTGATTCACTTACTGGCTAAAAAATTAGGAAGACTCTGTAAAATGACTTGAATCTCTCTGTGACAAGTTATTTGTTTGCTAGATTGAGGAGAAGAAAACAGACTTTTATCCACATCCCTGAGTGAACAATCTCCAGGTCTCAAGCCT